TAGATTCCCTACAAAAATCATGAACTCATTGAGGCATCTGCCTATACTTGCATGTGGTTACCAAGGAAGAGCCCCTGATATACTGGCCACCCCAGTGGGGTTGGTTGCTGTATAAATAAATGGGCTTGCAAAAACTAGCCTCAGACCTCAAGTGTGGTCATTTACGTGGACAAAATAAATGATCTCAAGTATATTTTAGTTCTTAGGCTCCTCAGCATTAAACAGAGATATTAAAGGGGAGATGAACACAATGATTCTAGCTCTTAAAAAAAAAAATATGTGCAAAATACCATGGAAGTCACATAGTTATAATACTAGCCAACATTTAATTAAGCTCTTACAACCTAGGCATTGTAATGTTTTACATTAATGTTTTACACAGATTATCACATTTGATCATCATACCAACATTCAGCTGGGTACTATTACTATCATCCTTTTTAACAGATGAAGAAACTGGGATGTAGAGAAGTCAAGTAACTCGCTTAAGGTTACAAAGCTGTCGGGTAAAACAGGCTCCAGATGCAAGTTCTCAATCATTGAGCTGTACTGTTTGCATATTCTTTCTAAGTGCAATGGGTAAAGAAATCTTTTTATTACATTAGACCTTCAAACACACATGTGCATCTATATGCATATCTTTTTTTTTTGGGGGGGGGGACCGGTAAGGGGATCGCAACCCTTGGCTTGGTGTCGTCTGCACTGCACTCAGCTAGTGAGCGCACCGGGCCATCCCTATATAGGATCCGAACCCACTGAGGGAGCGCCACTGCGCTCCCAGCACCGCACTCTCCCAAGTGAGCCACAGGGCCGGTCCCATCTATATGCATATCTATCAATACATATATGATTATGTCTGTGTTTCTTTTTCTCTATTTATACATTTATATAAAATTCTATGGGTATAAGCATGGTCATTCCAGAGAGACTTGTGTGCCAATGAAGAGCCACTCATTTGTTTGCTGAGGTAATTTTTAGAAAAACTCAACAAATGTTAATTGGTGGACTATTTTGTGCCTAAAGTTTCTTACTCTTCACAAGCTGACATTACCAATGATCGTGGTTTTAAAAAATTTTCAAAACTTCATGGATGGCCCACTTATGATTATAGGCAACACAGTATGTGGTGCTCTGTTACTTGGTTTTCTCATTTGATTAAAAAAGTATGTTCAGTGTAGGTAACTGAGAAAATAGAGCATAAAATAAAATCCAATTATCACTGCTAATATTTGTGATCATACTGCATTACATTTTTTTTACATTCTGCCTTTTCTACTTAACATTATATCATGAACATTTTCCCATGACATTAGTGTTTTAAAAAGAGCTACTATTCACATCTACATAAAGTCAAACTATATAACAAACCCTGGAGGTGACCATATTTGATGTTGGAATTTTTACTTGCCAATTGCCACAATGGAATTAGAATCCACATTCCAGAACCTGAATTTCAGGATCAATGCTTTTCACTCTGCACCATATTGTTGATTTGTTTTGAATTGTTTAAGGGCTTATGTCTAATATTTATCAACTTTTGGCTTAAGTCTGGATCCTGTATATACCATATCCCATTCATGACAGAATAAATGAAATAGTCTCCATTACATTTCCCTAATCAATTATATTCTTCAATTCCATCAAAGAACTAATTAAATAAGTGAGCGGCAACTGATTAGGCTATAATGTAGAAAAAAACAGGAATATATGTACTGAAATCAATCAATCAATAATACAATTAATTCCTAGCTTTACAGAAAAACTCACTGATTACTGAACTTCTTTAAGCTGCTAATACTCATTAGTATCATAGTCTTTAATGTCTTAATGTTATTCGGTGAGGGCAGAGTTGAAAAATTTTCAATCAGAAACAGCCAACTTTGATACTTACAATATTATTTTTGATAATTAACAATATTGTGGGCCGGCCCGGTGGCGCACTGCTACAGTGCGCTGCTTGGGAGTGCGGCGGCGCTCCCGCCGAGGGTGCGGATCCCACATACAGGCCGGCCGCTCACTGGCTGAGC